AAAAATGTGGTAAACTTACTCAAAAAAATTGTAACCCCATCATAAAAAGTTGTAACCCAATTCATAAGAGTTGTAATCTCACCCTCTAAAGGTTGTAATCCAATTCTGAAAGCTTATAATGAGACTCCAAAGATTGTAACTCCTATCAAAAAAAGTTATAACTCCACAAAAAAAGTAATAATTCAACCACCCAAAAGGCTGTAAGCCAGGCTAGAACTCAAAACTTGGAACCCCACGCAAAAGGTAGTAACCCAATTTAGAAAAATTGGAACCTTACCCTCAAAGATTGTAATTCTTACCAAAAAAATTGGAACTCAATCCCCAAAAAGTTAGAACCCACCTGATGTAGAACAAGAATTAGCAATTATTTTATTTTTATTTTATTATTTTCTAGATTTAGAATTTAATTAGGAATATTTTAGAGCAATTAGATGCCTCGACTATGTCAATTTTTCTAATTTTTTAAACATATGTTTTTTTTTTTTTGATAACTTTCCTAAGATTAGGAATTTATTTCCGTTTTAGAAATTTTAGGCTTTTGATTTTTCTATAAATTGTTCTATATACTACAATTCTACAGATTTTATTAAANGTGTTTTTTTTTTTTTTTGATAACTTTCCTAAGATTAGGAATTTATTTCCGTTTTAGAAATTTTAGGCTTTTGATTTTTCTATAAATTGTTCTATATACTACAATTCTACAGATTTTATTAAATAATATACATTTTTAGAGATATTTTCTTATTCCTTTTTCTATGAATTAAATGTGTGTATTCTTTACACTTAGAATCTTCGTGTTTTTTTGTTCCACTGCGTCAATTGGTATCAGAACTGTGACTAACCTAGCATAATTTCTAATCAACAAAGTGGGGACAACTTTCCTCCTAATGGTGATTATGTGGAAAGGGCNGCTGTGACTAACCTAGCATAATTTCTAATCAACAAAGTGGGGACAACTTTCCTCCGAATGGTGATTATGTGGAAAGGGCTCTTCCAAGAGCCAACTTCTTTAGTTCTCAACGTTCGTCCTAGCTAGCCTATCATGAGTTCCAGGATCTAGTTGCTCGATTGACGTTTAGAACGAACTATGATCTAGATTAAAATAGGGTTTGCAACAACGATATGGCTCGTGTTCGACCTATTCGAGATCTCAAATCTTGTCCCCTTCAAACGACNAAATAGGGTTTGCAACAACGATATGGCTCGTGTTCGACCTATTCGAGATCTCAAATCTTGTCCCCTTCAAACGACATCATATTTATGATTTTGATTCTATTGATGATGATGAGTATGGTATGGGTATGTTTGATAGCTATGATTATACTAGATGTCATTGAAGACATAATTAGGATTCTAGAAATTTATTTATGAAAGTTGATCTTCCAAGTTTTGATGCTTATGTTCATGAAAAATATTTTTTAGATTGGTTGGCAAAAGTTGAGCAATTCTTTGATTATCATGAAATTCTTGAGAGAAAAGTATGTTTAGCGGCATACAAATTGAAGGGCATGGCTTGTCATTGGTGGAAACATGTGAAATTATCATGTGTAAGTTAACAGAAATTCAAAGTTTGTCTTTGACAAAAGATGAAACACTTGTTAAAAGAAAGATTTACACCGTCATATTATGATAAAGACGAATGATATAAGTATGGTGCATATCAATGTGTGAGACAATCTTTTTCACGTAATAATGATTATTTTGTGACTTAGGTCTCATATCAAAATACAGTTAGTATGCAGTTTTCAAATATTTTGTTAGATCAAAAAATTGAAGTGAAAAAGAGGAGATCGAATATACTTATGGCGGTATTAGGAAGTCTCTTGAAAGTTGTCAACATGAGAAACTTGAAAAGAATTACACATATGATATTATGAATTTTGAGAAAAAGCAAACAACAAAGTTATGGTTGATTTCCATGAACCATATATTTCCTTAGTTTACATTGATATTCAAGCTAATTATGCTCTTGGAGTTCTAGAAAGTAATGAGACTTTTCCTCTGGTTGAAAAATAACTAGATGTGTGTGAGCATCACATGGATGGAAAGGCTACATAACCAAAGACAAGAAGCTTAAGACTATTGATCTTAGTGATAAAATTGAGAATGACAAATTTTCTTTTGTCAACACAGTTCCCGAGCACAATAAACTTGGAATTTTTTATGAATTTCGTGGAGTTGAGCAGAATGAGAATTTGCCACATGAAGAATCTATTGGTTTACATCTTTTTGGTTTTATTGAATTTCAATTTCTATGGGGCCTTGCTATTTTTGAGTTGCCAAATGTTCTTCAAGAAATTCTTAAGTCTATACTAAGGTCACCAAAGGATGTTGAATGGGAGATTATTTTATTAGTTGTTGATGGTATAGTAGATTCATACAAGTGTGTGCTTGAAAAACTTAATTTGAAGTATAAAGCTGATACAGATAAACGTCGTTGCAAGCTATGGAAACTTGAGGACGAATTTTTTTTAAGAGAAAGGGTCTAATGTAGAACAAGAATTAGCAATTATTTTATTTTTATTATATTTTATTTTTTTTCTAGATTTGGAATTTAATTAAGAATATTCTAGAACAATTAATTGCTTAAGCCATGTCAATTTTTTCTTATTCATTAGACATGTGTTTATTTATTTTTTATATTTGTTTCCGTTTTAGAAATTTTAGGCTTTTGAATTTTCCTATAAATTATTCTATGTACTACAATTCTCCGAATTTATTGAATAATATACATTTTTAGAGATATTATATTATTCCTTTCTCTATGGATTCAGAGTTTGTGTGTTCTTTGCACTTCGAAATGTAGTGTTCTTCGTATTTCTTTCTTAGGAAATTTAGACTGATCTCCTTTGTGGACTTATTTGGTGATAAATTCAACAAGAAAATTTATTTAATTTTCAGTCTATTTTGTTCTTCATTGTCCAAAATACCCATAATAGTTATGTTTAATTAAAACAAATTTGAAAACTAACAACTCTTAAATTTTAGGAGTTTGACTAACATTAAAATTGTTTCTCTCATATCTATCTATATCCATTTATAAAATAAGACTATTTATTTCTCTGATATATATATATATATATATATATATATATATACTAGTCATAACTCGTGCCTGAAGACACGATGAAACATAAAATTCGAGCATCTAAAACAATCTATCCCACTATATTAAATAATAAATTTTCTTTCATTCTTTTCTTTAATTATATCATTTAAAATTTATGTTTATCCATTATTTACTTTAAAATATCAACAAATTTTTTTCAAAATACGTAATCCGACAAAATTTTCTCAACATATATATTTTATCGTGTAAGGATAATTTCTGAAATAAAAAATATATTAAACTGTAAATTAATCAAATATTAAAATAATTGGGTATGTGATAGAAGAGCAATGCTATTGAAACCTAATTTACTGACCTAATTTGCTGACCTAATTCACTATGACCTTTGGATTAACTGTGGAGTCCATTAAATATTGGAACTTGGTGTTGATCCAATAATTCTGCTGAAGTCACATCATTATGTCAACAAATAAAGTCTAATTTTTAGGTTCAAATAGTATTACTCGTGATAGAAATGGGTGGTATAATGTTTTTTTTTTGGGGGGGAGGGGGGAGAGAGAATGTGTAGGGAACTTGTGAACTATCTTATTATATAGAAGAGAGAGAGGAGAGGAGATAGGGTGTTTAAAACGTCTAATAGATAAGAGAGAGAGAAAGTTATATGAGAGATAGGAGTGTTAGAGTTAAATCTAATTATGATAGTCGGATCAATATTTATGACATTATCTGAACAGTCTTTATGTTAAAATTATGTTGTCCATTAGATATATTTATGTTTTGTCTCAAAATGATCTGAATATTTCTTTGTCTCCAAAATTCAAATTCAGCTCTACTTTATTTTATACTAGTCATTACGCGTGCCTAGAGGCACTATACAACAAACAAATTTTTTTTAAACAATTGTCCAAATTCAAAAAAAATGACCTAAAAATATCCATACAAATTCTTCTTTTAAAATGACTCAAAATATATTGTCGATTATATCCTCCATATTAATGTAATTGTCATAAAAATATATAAAAACTCCAAAAATAACACCATATATACAAATGCCTATGAAAAAAAAAATACTAACATAATCTATTAAAATTTACAATCTTTAAGTAATAAATTAAATAAATAAATTCTTGCTCATTTATAAGACTCACGAATTATCACCTCTACTACCATTTCTTCCAATAACACAACATAATTATCAACTCAACTACCATATTTTCAATCAACCCTATCTCCATGTAATAAATACCTCAAGCAAAAAAAAAAATATTAACAGAATACAATTAAATTCACAATCTTTAAACAGTAAATAAAATCAACCAAATTTTGCTCATGTATAAACTTA